GCAGGGAGTGGGGACATGCAACAACTGCTATTTCTTTAGTGTTCTAGGTAGTTTTCATTAATGATTTTAATTATACATTCGAAATTTTACAGTTAGCTAAATGTGAAGACACTTTGCTTAATAATAAAATGTATTTTAGAGTTCATTTTCATGCATTTTTATACATTTAATGTCCTGGGGACAGAAATGTTACCCATTCGGTGGAATGTCCCATAAACACAGTGGATTACGTCTTAAGTGAACGTAAACAGTAGGAAGAACGTGTATCAGTACATTGCATCCATTGCATCCGTGCATTCGGTTTTAAAGGAACAGCAGCCTAATTTAGTTGTTATTGTCCAAGTCATTGAAGTTAATCAAGTAACAAAAGAAAGACCGGCAAAAGACTATGACTAAAACTAAATCAAAATTTGCTGTCAAAATGAACACTGATTCAAATTCTTTTTTTATTCTAAGTCAGTGTTTATAGTGTTGCATTTAATCTTTAATCGTTTTGCATCATGGCATGAAACTGATCATGTGACAAATAGAACATTCATCACATGCATTACTAGATTCCAGCTTATTGGACTGCATCGCACATCACCCTCTCTCTTTCTTCTTGTCTTCCTGTTGTTCGTTTAATTCCAGGACCTGTCCCCTGTGCCTGGGAAAAGCAGTATGAAGCTGAAAATCATGCCCAAGGGGAAGAAGGAGAGAGAGAGGTTACACAAGCAGCGGTCCAGCGGCTCTCTGTCAGGTAAGAGACACATTCACTAGCAGAAACACACCATTAACCAGCCTCGTAATCTCAGCATCATGCTGCTTCATTGAGAGTATGACTGGCATATCCAGCTACAGTGGAGTGCAGTATGTGCTGCGGCCTAATTATGAACTAATTTTGTATAATCATCTCATTCCTTGTGCAATTTACAGTACTTGTGAAAACATTATGGTTTTAAAATGTTTTTAATGACGTCTCTTTAATGACAGCTGCATTTATTTTATCAGAATGATTTCTGAAGGATCATGTGACACTGAAAACTGGAGTAATGGTTGCTGAACATTCAGCTTTGCCATCACAGAAGTACATTACATTTTAGAAAAGTTATTTTAAATTGTAATATTTCACAGTATTAGTGTTTCTACTGTATTCCTGAGTACATAAATGCAGCCTTAGTAAGCATAAGAGACTTCATTAAGAACATTTAAAAATCGTTTCCAAACTTTTGACTTTCTTTATTTTAAATTAATTAATTAATTGTCCTTAAACTCACAAGCTTATTCTTAACACATTTGTTTGCACCGCTCAGGATCTTGGGATATCAAGGGCGGGATGTATGATGTGGATCCTGCGGGCAACTGAAGAGCTGAAGTGGTTTGTCACGAGGACACACTCTGCACACGGGACGCCCAGTGAGGGAGGACAGGAGAGCCCCTGTGCAGACACATGCCCCACCCCAGTGTTTGTGCGCAGCCCGGCACTGCATTACTGAGCTTCTGTTGCGTTTCTTCTGCGCCTGCGGATGGTGTCACGGGAAATGCTCATCATCAGAGAGCAGGAAGTGGATCGTCCGTCATCTCTCTGTTTCCCGTGCGCGACCTAATCCGTTCGTTTTTTTTATCTTATTTTATGATCTTGTTACTTTTTTCTGTTTCTTAGTATTCAAGCCGTCAGACACAAACTATAAACTTTCTTCGCTCTCCAAAGAAAAGAAAAAAAAGACATTTCTTTGGCCCCGTCCTGTCGCCGCCTGAACAACAAGAAAGGAACAAACTCAATCAAGCAAAACAATTGTATTAAAATGAAGACAATTAAACACGTGCAAAAAAGGAATATCCTGATGAATGAATGTATGGTGGACTTGTATTATTCGTCAAACTGACTGAATAGTTAATCTGCATCTAGTCTCTGTATCTCTCTCTATCAAAGACCATCTAATTTCTGCATGCCTTTCATGCCCTTATGCAGAAAAAAAAGGTCTACCTTTTCTTTGTACTCTCGGATCGTCAGCCAAGTCGTGATGGTGTATCACTAGTGTGTCAATTGAGCCGTCGTTCTAGAAGCTTCAGTGCCGTAACTTGTGCCAAGTGAGTAAATGGAGCGCAGTGGTTTAAAGTGAGCTGTTTCTTTACTTTTTTTTCTGCAGGGAAATCTCGTGAAAGAAAGTGATGCTGTATGTCGTACATTTCAAGATGCATTTTATCTCGCCTTGCACTTTAATATAGAAAACATGTTTAAAAAGCAAACGTAAAAGGTTGTGTGTTTTGTTTTATCATATGAAAACTGGTATCCCATTCATGGAAAACCTATGATGAGATATGTTACATATAAGACAGTATATAATCCAGTTTATGAATGTTATTCAACTGTCGCCCCTTTTCGGGGTCAGTCTGTACATGGAAACCCTGAGGGAACGCAAAACTTGAACTTGCCCAATGTGTGGATCACAAACAGTATTTATCAACAGATGGTACAGTGTAACATTTTTCCATTAAAAGAAATAATATACACAATGCTGGACAACTTAATTGTTTTCTTGATAGTTGTTAGCCAAAGTCTAACAGTATTGCTCTGTAAAAAATTAAAATGACAAATATGGTCTCGATATGAAAGTTTATGGACAGTCTAGGTGCTGATTGTGCCCCTCAAAGTTGGACTGTATTTTTTATTATTTTGCATGTCTTTGTTTCAAACTTCATCTGTGATGAATTGTTGCTGCGTGCTTAGTTTTGATTGACATAGCAACGTTACTTTGACCATCTCCGCGTATCAGCACATCGATTATGACTGGTAATAAGGTACAAGCGGAAGGCAATGATTTTATGAACATAAAATGTATTTTTTAAATTTTTTTCTTTGAACAGAGAAAAAGAACCAAAACAGGTACCTATCCTCTTCATTGTCAAGACTACTGTTTACTTTTAAGCTGTAATATATATCCTTTTTATTTAAAGTATTTTGCCATATGGGTTGCAGTTAAGCTTCCATGGCCTTGGACTCCGTCTGACTGCAATCACCTACTTCAGGATTGCTGTTGTCAACTTGATGCAAAAATAAAGTGTGGCCATTGCTGTTTGACTTGTTGCACTTTATTTTCATGGTTTCACAGAATATACTTACAGTATGAGTTTAGATTTTTTTTTTTAATTGAACAGTTCATTCATTGCTTTGTCAGTACTGAAAATCTGCATCGAGTATTTTCAACTACCAGTAAAAAGTTGGGGGTCAGTAAGATTTTTTAAATATTATTCAATAAGTGGCAGTAACGACTTTTAAATTGAAATTGTAAAAAAAAAAAAAAAAAAAATTCAAAGTCTGTTCTTTGACTTTCTATTCATCAAAGAATCCTGAAAAAAAAAAATCAAGCAGCACAACTGTTTTTAACAAATAATAAAAATGTTTCACCAAATCGGCTCACCAGAATGATTTTAGAAATGATCATGTAAACTGTGCAAAACTGGATGACAAGAGTTTTAAGACTTCCCTAACCTTTAACCCTCTGGCCCTCTTATAAAAAAAATTATATTTTTAATTTTTAAAAATCGTAGCTTCATCGGAATGAGATGACACTTGGTGACTTTTGTCACATTAGCAATATGAACACACAAAAAAATAATGGACATAATTCGGATATGTTAAAGGGTACAAAAAAAAAAAAATAGTCATACGACTTTTTCGCGGTCAAAAATGACCGACATAGGAAATGAATGGGAAATATGAAAAAATGTGAAAACTCCGTGAATCTTTTGGTGGTACAAACTACAAATCATCCACTGGTCAAAAAAAAAGTGTGCTTTGAAAACTCAGTGAGTCTTTTGGCGGTACAAACTACAAATCAGCCACTGATCAGAAAAAAGTGTGCAGCAATCAAGGGGTGACTCTCTAGAATATCAGGAGTGCAAAATAGACACCAATCAATAAATGGAAAAAATACAAAAGGGGCTCTCTCTCTCACACACACAACACACACAGAAATGAACTGGTAAGACTGCAACAGATCTCACAAAACCTCACAACGTGAGGACAGAAAGACGAAAATTATTTTGGACTACAACACTACCAAAGGTGGAGTGGACATCTGGACAAGGTATGTGCCTATTTGTATTTCAGAACATTTACTAAAATTTTGTGCATGTGTGTGTGTAATATTCCAGATCGTTGCAACATACACATGTGGACGGAAGACAGCTCGCTGGCCCATGGCTCTCTTCTTCAATATAATCGATGTCTCAGCCTACAATTCATTTGTGCTGTGGAGGGAAATTAATCCCACCTGGAGACAGGGGAAAAGTTTTTCCTCTTTTTCTTCAATTTACTCTTTGATAATTATTGCGTTTGATTTTACCGTATTTTAGCCTAACAGACGTTCCTGATATGTTGCATGTGCAGCAATGCATAAAATAATTACAGTTTGTAAATATATAGTTAAAATTGTTTATAATTATTACATTTGTATTCCTCTTTTTTACATCTACTGTTTGATACTGATTGTTTTTGCTGTTGTTAGTTTATTGTGTTTCATCATAATTGCTGTTCCCTTCTGAAGTTTTATTAACATTTATTGAATTACATTGAATAAAATATTAATTAATCACAAAATGTTTGTATAAAGTGTTTTTAATGATCACTATTCATTCCTTGTTTTGTTAGATTTTTAATTATCAAATACTGAGTAACAAAAATGCTTTCTATGTGTTCCCTTTCTAACAAGATTTTAATGTTCGTAATCATAATGTAAAACCTGATACTTATAATGGAGAAAATAGCTCATTAAAATGTTATAAATATTGCATAGTATCATAAAATTCCCTCAAAATCATAAATAATAATAAAACAATATTATTGAACAAAAATAGATTACACTGATTTTCCTGAAAAAAAAAAAAGTTACATTTCAAGGCTTCGGTCACTTTTGACGCGAAGAAGGCAAGTGTGACTCCTAAACGAAGAGGGCCAGAGGGTTAACACACAAAACAAAAAAAGGCTAACTGCTTGAAAGCAGCAGCCCCATGTTTGTATACATCCCATGTGATCTTGTAAACAAATCCATAACTTCAGAATAACTGTTCATTTTTCTGGGGGGACAGCAGCAGGCTCTTCTAGCTCAGGGGGTCCATCATCTGCCTGTTTTTCTTCTTTTTTCTCACTCTCTTTCTTGTCCTCCTCTTCGTCTTCCCAGTCAGACTCACTGATGTCATCATCTGAGATGTACCAGTCGGGTTTGACGTCTTCCTGTTCTGTGTTCATCTCATCGGTGACCTCTGGCTCAGGTTTGTGTTTGGGGTCCTCAAGTTTCCCCCAGGCTACAGCATCAGCCTTCCGCATCAACTTTAGAGGGCACCATGTTCACAAAACTGCTCTGCACGTCAATCACCTAAGAGACCAGAAGTGGACACAGATGTCTTTTTGACTTATAAATAAATAAATTGAAAAGATATAATAAAATATTTACAAAAATGTGAGGGGTGTACTCACTTCTGTGAGATACTGTATATACACACACAAAATATTGAAATAAATCTGCTTAAATTAAAGTAAACAAAAATTGTATGATAAAACTAAAACTGTAACAATAATTTAGTAATGCTATTTAGAATATTTTTTTAATATTTAGAAAAAAAAAAGAAAAGACAAAAGCACATGGAATTTCAAAAACTGTAAATTGTTTCCTATGCACTAAACAAAAAAAAAAAAGATCACTTTCTAAGTTTCAGGAGGATATATCATTGCTAAATCATAAGAGAGTGTGAATGTACAGCAATCTTACCCCCATAAGTGGATGTCCTTATGAAGCACTTTGTCACCCTCAAACTGAATGTGGCATGTTAACTGCAGATTGACAAGAGACCAAAAAAATTTATTTATGGACAAAGATCATTTATAAAAAGTCATTGGATGCTGATGTGAAATGACTTTTTTTAAAGGTCGATTTGAACTCACCACTGTGCGGTTTGCCTCCACGTAGGAATGCTCTGGACTGGAGTTCTTGGCGTAGATTGTGACCACGACCTGCTTTCCTGTCTGGTGCCAATCATGCCTGCAAGCCACCTTCTTTTTGTCCTGCAGACCAAACACAAACACAACATACAGATTTCAGAAAGGGTTAGTTGATTGTTTCTTGATTATACAGCATGTGTCCATGCAAATAACTATATCCACTGATTAAAAAAGTCCATTAGCTGTTACCTGTTTGGGGATCCAGCAGTGTTTTCCTGTTGTGCAGCCCTTCTGATCCAGGAAGGCATTGAAGTCAGTGGTTTTTATGCAGGAGCAGTTCCAGTATTTGTATCTAGACAATGATCAGCAGATGTGAATTACCATGCATCTCCCATCTCATCTCATAAAAACAATATCTTTAATTGCCGATGTTAAGAACCCTTTGTGTGAACACATCATGATCTCTTGTTGAATTCGACAGCATATGTGGATCTGAATCCAGATCAGTTCTCTGACAATGAGAAGCTTTATGAAAACAGGCCTTGCTTGTACTGCAAAATGTTTAATAGATACAGGAACTAGGTACCTAGGTATAGTTCATATTTCCAAATAAAGACCCAAATGCAGCAGGTTTCTTACCCTTCGTGGAAGACAGGAACCCCAGGATGATATTTGCAGATCTCTGCGTCTGTCTCTGGACTCTGGTAAATCTGAACACACAAAAACGGTTAAAAGCGTTTGAACTGATATTCACAGTCAACACAGATGTACCTCAAAACTAAACTACACCCTAAAGAAAGACATTTCTGCTCCAGAGAAACACTCACAGGAACTAAACTTTAAAGTGCTGATGCACCTGAACGCAGCATAAGCTCTGTGTCATCCGTTTACTGCCTTCACAACTGAAAATACACTCATTTTTCTACTCATCCAAATAGATAAATGAGCAGGAAGCTGTAACAGAGCTATACGTGCTGTCTGTCTCACTGGCTGAAGAAAAGAGAACCAACAGTATGTCTTTACCCTGATGAGCAGGACTGCGCACAATTCAGAAAAGAAGAATTGTCTTCCTTTCACTTCAAGAGATTAGATTTCAGTTTCCACAGGGGCTGAAATGGATCCATTTCAAAGACCATGGTGCAAAAAAATGACATTTAATGAAATATATTAAATTCCTGGTGACATTTCAAACCATCGATGATAGCATGCTCATAGCTAATTCACTGTGAAAAGAACAAAATAACACAAAAAAGAAAAACTAATTTAATTGTGAACGACACGCAGCCCTGCTGATACAGGTTTAGTTCTCACATGGACTAAAGAAGAGCTCCGCAGAGTAATTAACATGATTAACTTTTGGGATTTCAGCAAACTAATCCATTAAAGATGATGGGAAGCTTTAACAGAAGGCATTAAGGTCAAATCCCAGTGAGGGATCTGACCCTGCGGCTTTAGTCGTTAATTCTGGCTCATCTTCTGCTCTGGGTCCATTCAACATTACACCGGTAAAACAAGATGAACTAGAGTCAGTTTCTGCTCCTTCTGTTCTCATGAGCCTAGTTGTAAGGACCAAAGTAGACTGATGCTGGATCAGTAATGTTACACAAAAACACTCAATGGCCCTGGATTGATTCTCTGTGGAGTCTGTCTCTACATGAAGTGCTGCAGTGTCATTCTTTATTATGGCCACTAGGTGGCATGAACTGTATATTTTGTTAGGCAAGCTGATTGTTTGTTGACAAAATTGTTTGTTGTAATTTACATATTACATGGGCACCTACTGTTTTGCATCCTGCATTCATTGACTCCATTGACTCTGTAGGACAGCGAGAGGGAAGAGGTGACAAAACAACTGTAAGAGGAACTTTAAAAGTCTGCTGATTTCTCAAAATGTGCAATAGTCACATTCTATAACAAATGACAGTCATGCAGCACAACAAACACAACACAAGTATCCTACAGCAGACCTGTGAACACAGAAGGGTGTTACTGTGCTTTTACAGAGGTCCTACTGTAAGTGACAGATTATAGACAGGTGGGCGTCACATCAACAGCTATTGTCAAGGACTGAAATCCTTTGAGCCCTGAGCTTTGGCAGAACCAAGAGCTACATGAACATAAATACATAATGCATAACCCTTCACTAGAGCGATGGAAAAAAAATGGTAAAGCAAATAATATAATTAAACCCATGCCATTTTGCACAGTCAAAATAGCTCAATAAAAGGCTCTTATAAATGCTTTATATCTTTTTGTGCTGACTGTGCATGTGTGCAATATGCCCCCATCCTCTAAAACATTAACAAAACAACACAGAAATAAATATGATTTGGACCAGTGTTATTTTAGTATCATTGATATACTATAGTTAGTTAGTATTTTGAATTAAGAGTAAAATTAGATGTTTTCTGCTTTCACTTTAACTTTAGTTAATTTTTTTGTCATTTTAGTAATAGAGTTTTTGTAATTTTATTTTATTTGTCTATATAGTTTTTATTTAGAAGTTTTTAATTTCTTTAGTTTTAGTTATTTTAGTACTTCAAGTTAAACTAAATGTTGGTAACGACAAAATAAGACATGTTTTATTTTATTCATATTTTATTTTATTTCATTTAACATTTATTTTGTTTCAAGTAAACATTTTTATTTATTTATTTTTTTTGTTAATTGTTTTAGTTTTAGCTCCATTTAACAAAAATACCCCTTATGTAGACTATATTAAATACAGGCTCACTTGCAACATGAATAAACATGATTTGTGCTAAACACGATGCATTTAGGAAATTATTGGCTATTCTGGAATTCTGAAATCATTGGCTAAGATTAATACAATTTTTTTGCATTATTTTAATTATTAATATTAAATTATAATGTCAATATCATGGTATGAAAAGATTAGTGCTTTTTATTTATCAATTTAATTTAGCCTTTTGCATTATTTATATGATTCATAATATTAAACTATTATATTAATATTAGTTCATTATTAATACTAATACATTTCATCACTTAATTTTAAAGGTTATTTTTGTTTACTTTTGTGATGGGCTGCAACATTATTAAACAATATTTGTGCTGAGTGCAAAAATCTTTTTTTTTTTACATTCTAATATTAATATTAACTTATTATATTAGTATGAATACATTGTTATTACTAGTGCATTTTAAGGACATGTTTATTTTTGTGTTGGGCAAAACCAGTAGAGAATCAATGCATTAGTATCAATGCAGGTGATCCTGAGCTGTAGGAATAACAGGAACTGCTGACCTAGCTTCTCTCTCTTCTCCCTCTCAGTGATCTCCATTTTCTCTGCGATCTGAGCCAGAGAGGGAGCGATCTTCACCTGCAGCTTTGTCTTTGGCTCATCTGAGCTGGGAAGGAGTGAATCGAAAAACATGTCACTGTCTGTTTTTATTTAACAGTCAGAAGGAGCTGTACTTCTCTTCTTTGAAAGAGAGACGTTCTTTTTATCCAACGTTCTAAAATCCAACGTTGTATTTGTTCATATTAATTAATGGACCTGAGCTAACATGAACAGTTGTACTTTTATTAACGTTAACAAAGATTAATAAACACTAACAAATGCATTGCTCATTGTTAGTTAATATAAGTTAATGCATTGCTCATTGTTAGTTAATATAAGTTAATGCATTGATTAATGTTAACTAACGGACCTTATTGTAAATTGTTACAGATTTTGTAAATAATAGCGAATGTTCACTTACAGGCCTTGCAGTAACTAAAGTTAATAAACGGAACCTCATTGTAAAGTGTTATTTTAAGCATGGTGAGGATTTCAGACATATTTTGTCACTTTGTTTCAGTCTGTACTACTGTACGTGCAGCGCATGAAGAGCAGCGTGAGATGAAACCGTCGCGATTAGCATATTATTAGCATACCTTGATTGACAGGAACTCAGAGAAATCTGTCGTCCTCTTTTTACAGCAGGACCAGCCCTGAGGGCAAAACCCCAACAAAGAATCACATCAGACAGCCAAGAACAAAATAAAACAAACACATGGATATTAGGCTCCCTACCTAAGAAGCAGGCAAACACGCCGACGACACGCTTATCAAGTAACGGCAGAACCGAACAGCCGGCGGTCCGCACGCAGCGCGCGCTGCTGTCTAAACAAAAAGAGCTCACCTTTAAGGCATCGTGGAAGATTGGCACTCCGGGGTGAAACTGGCAGGCATCTTCAAGGGGTAAGAGAGAAAATAGGGTTAGTAGGAGAAGTCCATCCTCATTAGTATTTTTTATGAAAAGGACTCAATACAGTGACACACATTCTCAGCGGAGGAGACAGTAGGAAGATTAAGCCATTTATGGAAGTAACATTTGATTAGAACACCTCCAAATGTGCTTGAGACTTCATGGATCCAAGAAACCTCTAAGAACAGACACTAGCTAAATCACCTTTTCTACAATTGCCAAATGTATAAATAAAACATGGAAGGATAAATGGAGGCTGTCTTGTTGCAAAATTAAATCAAATTTAAGTCCTGGCCCCCAGTGTCTCTGAGGCCAGTGGATCTCATTCACACTGCAATCAGCTGTTGGCTCACCTCTATCTATTTATATAATTCAGTTTCCAAAACAACCGTTTCACAGGTATAGAAAGTGATAAAGCACTTCTCTTTCAGTTGTCAAACTTTAAAAGTTGTTGGTAGATTTTTAACATCAGGCCTGTATTATCAGCCATGACTTTCACGTGGACAATTAAAATATATACAGTTCAAGATATACTTTTCCCGCCAATATGCTATATATTAATAAATAGTAAAAATAAATTAAAATCTTACCATCCGAGTTTTTGTCAGCATCAAATCGACCCCCGCAGCCTCTGTTGTAACACAGTAGAGCCATGTTGGCCTGTTAGATATTCAGCTTGATTTTCACTTAATCGCTGGACTCTTTTTTTCCTTGTTTATATGCTCTGCCCTGCATTCGTCTCAGGTACTTATGAACTCGCACGGCCGCTGTGAAACTTCTCCAGAACTTTCAGCCGAGGAGAGATCCAGAAGGAACAGCCACGTCCAGGTAAAGAGAAGGAGAGAGATGTTCTAGTCTGAAAGAACTCTAAAAATAGCCAGTGCCATGTGCACTCTCTCTCTCTCCTTACAGCTGTTGGGGTCTGTCTGGGAGAGTTTGACATTCCTGGGGTCTATACAGAGGGGCCGATGGGGGCAGGGGACACAGATGAATCACTAAAACCACCAACAAATGCCACACAATAAACCAAAACCCGTCTTTTTCAAAACTACACTAAAAGCTGGGTTATGATGTCATTTTTAAAATATAAAACAAAATGTTATTTCTATTTGTAACAGTTATCTGATGTAATAAACATATGAGTAAAAAAAAAGTGTCAAAAAGTAGCACTTGGAGCTTGGTGGAAGATGCGGTTTTATACTCGTGTTCTGCAGCTAGGAGTGGGATCTGGGTTAGAGAAACAGATCCACAGGCACAGTGGGAGCACAAACTGATAGCAACCTATATCTTGGAACAAAACAACAGGCACAAACTAAAATAGTAAGGCAACGCAATTAATAAACTGCAGAAGAGAAACCTTGAGGAATGGAGTCAGGTACAATTCCTGACTGTGTAGATGAATATTAATAGACATTTGGAATAAATCAGCGAGATGAAAGCTGTTAAAAATGTCCTTTATTAAGAAACCGGTGAGCGCAAGCGTTAAATCCATTTATTCACAAGGCATTCACTCATGGTTCAGGTTAGAGGCTTGCAACCATAAATTTTCTTCACAAATACAGACAACAAAACAGAGACTGAGACAGAAAGAATGAAAGAACTTACAAAAACTGACTCAAGCAAAAATCGCAAGAAGGAATATAACATACCAGATCAGCACAACCAACCACTGATAAATCATAAAAATAACACAGAACTCGTCTATCACTACAACAACTGCTTACTAAAAAACAGCACCATATTTAATAGAACTTTGCAAACGTTACATGGAACTGTGAAACTTTCCCAGGCATGTCAGATACAAAAAACATGCAAGAAAACGGGTAAAAATTATAACGCGATCGAAAGAAAATGGAGTTAAATCCATCAGGTCTCTTGGTCCTGGGTTGAGCATCTCATTGCAGGCGAACAAACGACAGTTCAGGAGAGACTGGTATCATAAGATCACTGACTTCAACCAGTGCTGCGTGGTTCATGAAGCTCACGGGGAAACCAAAGGCAGTTGCAGATGAAAAGTCGATGAAGAGCGTGTTTGATTCAGGTTTAGTTACAGATTAAAGGTTTCACAAGCGTTCTACCAGACTTGAGAGAGTTGATGAACAAGCACAACCAGACATGTCCGATTCCTTTTCCCCAACGGTACATAATTCAAAAACAGAACGCGGTTGAGCTCAAATAATTTATATAGAAGCGAATATCACTAGTCACTGCTTCAAATCACAGACAGCAACCTTCAGAAGAGTGAAGCAAGTGAACAATCTAAACCAGATTTAGGTACTTAGTAACTAGTGAAATCAGATTGAATGCCTGGCCACATAGTCCAGGAATTGCCTTAATGCCATGATGGGAAACGGTCTACTAGGGAGTAATTTGACCTCTCACAGAACCATTTTATCATTTAGATGGACTAAACAGCCAAAGACTTGCTGTGAAGTTGGGGGGGGGAAAAGGACCACAAAATGGTAGGTGTTGCTGTACATCCTTTTCCACACAATATAACCAGCTCTACATACACGTTTAGCTGCTTGGACAACGTCAAAACAGTTGAAGTTGGTCTTAAAACAGAAGATACACAAAGAAACATTGGTTGATTTTCCTGTTTCTGAGTCCATTGTTAAAAAGTGCTACAAATAAATAATCAGGTAGTTCCTGTTGCAGTGAAACTCGTGCAATAGATTCAACAGAAATCACATTGACAGACGCAAAAACAACACAGCACTACACAAATTTGACCAGATATTTAAAACGTGCGTTCATACTGTAAAAACCTGCATTATGGGCCGTGAGGCAGGCATGAAGTGCAATTTCAAGAGGCCAGAGAAGAGGAAAAAAAAAAGAGCCGGACATCCAAAATGAACTTGAGGGCAATGATTTTCCCGCTTGTGATATAATTGATGAGATGAATAAGATGACAGACAAAATGAAACTAAACAAAAATAACCAACAACTCAGGAAAAAACAGGGACTTTATTTATGTGAAAGTTAGACAAAAATGAAAGTTAAACACAATCCCACAATTTCTGCTTTTTATTTTCACCATGCTGAATAAACTCCTTATGGTCTGCATAAATAAATTACAAAAAAAAATAAAAAAATACAGTGGGGAAACGGGCATAAACATGGAGGTTTTGTGTTCTCCTTTTTTGGCATTTGATGATAAATGGATAAAAAAAGGTTGCTGCATTGCTCCCCTGGGCTGATACACAGGGATGATGGTGCTTCTACTGAATACATATTTCTAAATATACTGCATATATCTCTGTAACAGGAAAAGAAGGACAAAAAGATTAAATAGCAAATAGCCCACCTAAAACAAAATCACTAAAGCCAGAGAAGCCAGGACAGCTCCATGACAGCACGAAGGTGAAAAGGACCCTGAACGCCAAGCATCCCCACTAGAGGTCTGAGACGTGCGGCACACAGACACATCGATTCTGAAAGGCCGTTGCTGAGCTGAGTATTCCAGGCCAGCTAATGAGCCGAGCCTGAGATGAATAAAATCAGGCTATGTAGTTCAGAAGTACACTGGAGTTGGCGGCTCGTCAGTCTGGCCGGGTGCTCTAAAATAAAGGATGAATGTAGAGCGGTGAGTCCAATACACTCAGACATTTGCTTTGTGTGCACAATCGCCCCATAAACAGCAAACAGAACACTAACTAGCAGCTGTTTATATGAAAGATGACAAACAGTAACCACAAGGGGGAGCTGTGAAAGCAAGAACTTAGGGAACGTCTCTGTGCATAGCAGGGATTCTAAACAAAAATGAAAGTTTGTTCCTTGAACGCCTCAACTCAGCAAAACCAAGTTTTAAAAAGCCTATGGTGTGTCAGAGAGAGCATTCATGACCCGTTGCCAGTGAATCAATTCGACAAGCCTAAAGGTTATCCAAAAGCACTAGGTTGCCAAAGAACCTTGCATCTTCAGACAGTCTTCACCACAGGCTGGGCTGCGAATGCATGCAGAGCTTTTAATAACATTAAAAAAGACAAAATATGACTAAGAGAATGAAACGCTGCTGTGCTCATCGACCAGAAACTGGAGATTACCATGGAAACCCTGGCTCATGATAGCACCCTTGTACATCTTGACATCTTTCACCCTCCCTGAAGCTCACAATCATACATTCACTCTCTCACTTCACACACTTCAAGCCTCCGGTGACGGGATAATAGAATAGATCCTAATTAAACAGCATTGCTCCTGGGTGCCCCGTTACCTTGCAAACGCAGAGAGCATCAACATTGAGCCTGCATATAAAAAGCATTCAGTCTGAACCTGCTGGACCCCCTGACGGCGCTCAAAGGAGAATAAACTCACAAGCATGTTAAGAGATGCTCAGTAAAGAATTAGTAACCAACTCGCGCACTCACAGAATTAAGCAAGCAGAGAAACACAATGCACATTGATTGCTTCTACAAATGGAAGGGCAGGCGGTCACACAGCACGCATTACAGCAACAATATAAAACTTGCAGTGATGATGTCTTTAGCAACATACAAAAGCCAAGACCACACTTGAACTGATGGAAAGTCAAACTCACACTCTAAAAATGCTGGGTTAAATACAACCCAGTGAATTGCTGGGTTTGTTCCTATTTTACCCAGCACTGGGTTGTATTTAACCCAGCATTTTTTAGAGTGCAGACTTCAAATGAAAAATTCTGTCAGCATTTATTCACCCTAATGGAGCTCCAAACATGTATGACTGCTGCCCTTCTGTGGAACACAAAAAAAGATTTTTCTGAACCGTTTCTGATTCTCATGGACAAAAAATACAATGCAAGTCACAGAGAACCGACGCGGTTTGGTTATCAGCATTCTTCAAAATGTATCTTCTTTTATGTTCAGCAGAATAAATAAGTACATGCCGGTTTGGAATAAATGATGTAAATGATGACAGAAGTTTCATTTTTGGGTGGATTATCCTTGTAAGTGGGCTGAACCTTGTGCAAATAAATGATGTGTGTCTTATTTACACATTAAATCTAAAACCATTCTGATGACACAACATGGACTGTTATAAACATGTCATAACTATAACTCTCTAGAACATGTGACACTACAAAAATGACACTTACAAAATCTCTTATAAAATAGAAAATGCCATTCCTTGATCGGCTCTTTAAACACGTACCTGTGACCTCATTACATCAGTATTACTGTACCACTGAGTCTGTGCATTGCTTGGCAACTATTCTGCTAAACACTGCAGAAGAACTACATTGCTTAGAGGAAGGATTATTATTTGTAACCAATAAATTATTAAATGTTTGTTGCTGTGTGTTTACGTTCCGAAACCTTGCAGCTATAGGTAGTGATCATTTTAAAAAAGCAATAAGCTCCATGAAGCTGTAGTATACAGTGATTTTTTTTTTTTACAGCTAACAAGCATTGTTAGGCACAACAAGGAGCGCAAATTCTAAAATCACTAAGATTTTAAAATCACTGTAAACCACAGCTTCTTGGAACTCCTTTACTATCTCTAGTAACGTTCCATCAGTCCATGCAGAATAAAAACTAAATCTAGCATGAAGAAACAAAGCAGGAATTATTGGCTGATGTGAAGGCTGAAGTGGAAACCTGCTCTAGAAAGGGTTAAAGGGATTTCAGGAGGACCGAAAATGCTTTGGCTGCACAAGCAAAAATAAAGATACCCTGTTAACAGTGCCCCATATTTCGAGGAACTGCACAAAAACAGACTAAAAGTAGATTTTAGCTATTGATTTTGGTTCCAAAGTTGGCAAACACCCATACGCACGTCCTTCAGAGAAAGAACCGCGCTGTCAGGCACCGAGTACAAGAGCTAGCTTATGGCATTTCTCGAATCACAAATGTACATAATTTGGCAACATAAAACAGACCATGATTCATGTCATTTTCTGAAATAATAAAAAAAAATATATATAACATGCAGGAGTCTATAACATCAGGGTTAAAAAAAACATAGGATTAAACAAAACCCTCATTAAAAACAGATTTTTGAATAGGGTCACATGCCCTGTACCCTTCTCCAATGCTTTCCGGTCATCCTCTCCCAGGGTGGGTGGTACATGGGGGAGTGGGCTCAGAGTGTGAGATGTAGTCGTAAATGCATGACATGTTTGGTTATCACAGAAGAGCAGGAGCAGGTATGTTAATCAGTGTCCTTGGAGTGACAAAACAAGGTGGGAGGCCAGTGAGAGGGGGCTCTTCATGTGGCTCACGTAACACCAATGTGTGCATATGTATGTGCAAGACCACCATCACATCTGAAACGGAAACCCTTAAACCAGTATAAACAAATAAGGATTGACTGATCATTTTGAACAGTAGCCATCAGTAACAGTAACATGTTAATTGTTAGCATTAGATGACTAACGTAGTAGATATAAGAGACCAGCTCAATGTTATATATTATGTTACACATAAATGCATGTGTAAAGTGCTTGGGGGTGCAGAGCACCTTATATAAGGAGTCAAATACTTTCCTTGTTCTGAAATGAGAAGCCGGGACATTGTGTTAATGAGCCATTTAAACATGTTTATGATCTAGTAAGCTGCACTATTCAGGGGATTTATTTTGACATTTGAGTTTTCCTGAACTCAGCATGGGCATCTTCGTAACAGAGCAAAAGATGACAGTAACAGGAAGTCCACTGTGTTGGGCTTTATATCTAATTCATATTAATTATGAAGAGAAAAAAAAAGAAAAGAAGAGTGCTCTGTACATGGTAATTTAATATCTGCAATAAAATCCACAATTTCTATGATGCATCACACCTGCCACTAGACATCGTGCCCCAGGAAACAAATGAACCTCAAGAGATGAAAAATGACACACTGTATGCGCTCTCGTCTGGGGTGTGTGTGTTGGGTGAGCCGTTTCAGACAGTGAGGTAAGCATTCTTGCCACAAACACATTCCTCTCCATATGCACGCTCTTTCTTTTTATCTCGATCTCCTTTTATTTGGTGGTAGTTGGATCCTCCTCTCACTAGCTTGTTCTTTTCAGCCATCCTGTTTGGCACTCTGCTTAAGTGCTACTTACATGAACTGCATCTGTAAAAAGACACACAAAGAGTTATAAATAAGCAAACCAGCACTGAAGCGCTCAGTAATGACCGTGTGAATACAGCAGCACTGAACATCTTGTAAATGGAGCATCTGTGTACTTGCCACAGGCAGGGAGCTGCGTTTTGTTTTGTGTGTGTGTGATGGGGATGTTACAATACTACAATTTCAGTTGTTAAAATATAATACCAGTCAAATTTGCTGATGAAATTTGAATAACAGTGAAATTTCATCATTCTCAATACTACAGCAAAAACTAGTATTGCTATTTAAAAATGCTTCATTTAAAAAGTTAAATATAATAATTATTTATAAAAACATTTTAAAAAGTTAAATAATATAACATTAATACTAAGGCTGTCAATCAATTAAAAGATAAAAGAATAACAGCTTTCTGTAATTAAATCACTATTAAATCGCACCTAACACTAAAATCTGTGATCATAAATATATTTTTACATTAAATCTCCAAATTAATATGAAAACAACAAAGGCAGAAATAAAAAAAAATTATATTTTAAATATTTTTAATGGCATCTGGCCCTACAAATAAAGGCCAGTATCACTTATACCAATCTGATGCCTCTATTAAACATCTTTGTTTTTTTTTCACTGCTGGGTATAAAATGAGTAATTATATCCATTCAACATTACAGTTATAATTAAAAGCCAGGCTTACACTGCAAATTATCGGACAATTTTTATTTTATTTTATTCTTTCATTTTTTAACAATTACAGAACATAAAAAATATTATAACAAATTTTAATTAAAGTGAACTTAATGTGCTATCAAATCTCTGTTTGAATGAGCTCAGTTCATTTTTTTTCCTGCTTTAAAGTTTTTTTGCACATTGATTTATCACAATAAATATATAATAAACACATTACAAAACTACTTAAAGAATAAAAAAGATGCTGTGTTAATTGCATTAATTATATTTAACACATTAAATGCAAATATTAACCACAGAAATAAGTTGCGAGTACAATGTATAGCCTTGAAGCATTTCTCAATTAGGTAATGATTGCTTCAACAAAAAAGAAAAATCTTATAAAGTCTTTACTGCTTTACTATTAAACCAATATTAACATTAAGGAACTATTAATACTGTTAATACTTTTAAGGGCAATTTAATACTTTTGGAGTTTTTTTTGTTTAATATTAATGGTATAAATAGACAGTAGAAGGTCTATTATGCTTTTAACATTAAGTTTCAGACTAGTGAAACTGAAAAATAACTACGATATGGATTAAATGCATGCGAGGCCACTACATGTGTGATACAGATGGACTAACTAATGTGTTTGTGTGTGTACCTGGGCTCCAGGGATGGGGGTGAAAGGGTTAGTGGGTCTGAGAACAGGCTGGTTGTACAACATGGGCTGTTGGGTCATTACTGGAACCCCTCCCATCTGTCCCAGCTGAGGAGGAACCTAAACTCGCCCCAAACACAACATTCAGCGTTATTTTCTTTTAGCTATTAACCATTTAATTCATCTACACAATATCCATGTAGCCACTGTAAGGTCACAATACTCACCATTCCATACACAGGCACTTGAGGTGTTGTCATGGGAAACGCCATGGGAGCAGGAGCCTAAAGGGAAAAAAAGGGTCGCAAATCAACCATCAATGCACTGAATGACCAAACAATGCTTCACTGATCGAATGACCAATGGCACAACTCACTGATCAAACACTACTGTACTCATCCAACAGCTCTGTGCTCACTAATCACGTCTGGTTCATTTAGAGAGCTTGTTTAATTACTCTCTTTTGTACTCATGACAGGTCAGGAGTACTTAAACTCTCCTGCACTGATTTCTGAGCTGGTCCATTCAACACATGCAACACTGCACAACACTGAAGCAAAACAATAGAACTCAAGGATCTGACATGTTCCTAAGACTAAAAAAACTTCACCGAACAATGAGTAAAAAATGTGTTTTTAAATACATTTGGTCTCAGTCAAATAAAACGATGCATCTCAGCAACACTGTCATTTTACTATACCGTTCAAGGACGCATTGATCAATTGATCAAAAGTGAGAGTGAAGACACTTATAATGTTCCAAAATATTTCCATTTTAAATGAATTATTTTCTTTTGAACTGTTTTCAACATTGATAACAATGAGAAAATGTTCATGAGCACCAAAATAAGTATATTAGAGTGATTTCTGAAGGATCATGTGACACTGAAGACTGGCTGCTAAAAATTCAGCTTTGCCATCACAGGAATAAATTACATTTTAAAATATATTAAAATAGAAAACAGTACCTTTGTCATTAATACTGACCTTAAACATTTGAACGGTAGAGTATGTCTGAAATTGTGTTTCCTAAAACAAAGACTTGCCTGAATAACTGTCACTCACTTAACCCTTGTGTTGTGTTCAGAACCCTATCACACTTACGAGTTTACAGAGCAAAAAGGACCCGGCCTCATAAAATTGCTTATAAATCACTCATTATGCTATATTAAGTTGACAAAAAGATTGAATCCAATCTTTGTTGATAATATAGCATAATGAGTGATTTATAAGCATTTGTTTGAGGCCAGGTCCTTTTTGCTCTGTAACATCATGGGTGTAACGAGGTGAAAAATCTCCCCCAGAAAAGTATGAAAATGATCAAAACATTTTTTAGAAGTAGTTATACCCTTTGTGAACAAAGTCACAAAATTTCAGTCCAATGCGATAACATTAACTAGTATTTTCGGGAAAAATAATTTTTTTTCAGAGCAAAAAGGACCCGAACACCACATGAGGGTTAAAAGCCCAAAACCTTATTTGACACTTTATTCTGAACATGGCAAGCATTGATTTGTTGGCACAAAGAATTCATCAGTTTTGAATCGTAAACAGGTTACGTAAAATGCAGCCCCCAAACACACACATTTGCACAAGTCTGGTTTGCAAGTCAAAGCTCCAAAAAGATGAATACATCAAATGCTACAGAAAGGGCATGAGAGACCGAACAAACATTCATATGTCACAGGGAAATCAACATATGACATTCTCTGTGTTTATCAGGAATAGAGAGGGTTTTGGAAGTCAGAGGATGTTGGAAGTTACGGTAAAGGCCTTTTCACACAGAGTAGAAATGTTTAGCCCATTCACACAGTGTGAGAAAACTGCTTTTGGGTCATTTGGCCTGGAACCATACAGAGTGTTACAGAGAAACATCAAACTATTGTTTTTAATTAGTCTCAAGAGTACATGAAACTTAAAAAGCCACTGTGGTAAACAAGCTCAAGCTAAAATAAGTTATACAATACACATATACATTATGTATATGATATACATAACGACCAATTACCATATATATTAACAGCTCTACTATTATTTATTATTAGGTAAGGATGCACCGATATCTAAAAATCGGTACAATACTTCTGTAATTAACTTTGATTTGCTTTTAAATCCACACTGAAAAATGAGAGAGAAAAAACAACAAATTTGTAAAAACAAATTAAAGAAAATGTAAAATAAAACATGATTATAATTTAACAGTGGTTTGCATTTCATTTTAAAGCACATGTACAATCAGAATGTTTTTCATTTTCATTTCGATACAAAAACTTTTTCAAGTAACTGCCCATTTTCACCCACGATTCAACTAAATGTATTAAAAATTTAACACAATGAACCAAATAGGTGAAGATCGAAATCAAGAAATAAGGTGTGGGAATGTGAAAGTGAGGGAAATGTGTGGGAATAAGAGAGATAATGTGTAAGAGAGAATCGATCCCTCGTAAACGATATTCAAGATAATAGAACTGTCAGTTATAGGAGGTACTTACATAACTAGTATAGAACATTCCAGTCTGCTGGGTTAAGCACAAGAAAGAGGATAGAGAGAAAGACAGAAACATACAGGGCAGATAGAGCGAGGAGAGTTGAAGACGTCAGACACGAGGAGAAACGGGCCAGAAAGATGCGGACCACAGAAAAGGTGGAGAGACACAGAAAGAGAGACACTGAAGGTTAGTTATTCACAGACATCTGCTCTCTCTCAACTCAAGCAGTTCAGAGGTCAATCTACTCTGAACGCCCTGAGAGAGAGACAAGAGAGGCCATAAACACATGTAAACAGTGAAAACTCCTCTTTATCCTGTCTCAGAACAGACTAACACATCACCTGCCTGACTGGATCAATACACACCGCTTGAGAACAAGAAACACACTCACACTCATATTTCCTGAAGCTACACACTATAGCACAACAGCAAAGAATTCCTGAATTCTAGTGTATGAAATCTGGATATTTGGTGTGAATTGAGCTTTACAACAGATGGATTCCTTCATGTTTGTAAGGTTAAGAGTATTTGAAATGATGTTTGCATGTGAATGGGAATGTTTATATATGCAAGAATGTCTGTATATATTAAGTAATGTATAAATGTACTGTTATCCGGTCACAGTGTAACATAGCGAAGGCTTATTCATACTTTAAAGTTGTTTATTTTGCTATAATGACCAGCTGACTGGTCATTACCCTGCTTCATTACAGTACTAATAAATAAACGGACGTGAAATATTAAGTGTAAATTATTGTAATGTGAGAAGAAAGAGTCCCGCAGAGTGACAAAATGAGTGACAAAAACAGCACAGAGATGTAAGAAATTGCCTGGTCAAATATACAGTTTAGTGTCATTATTAAAAACAAATTGACTGAATAAATCTGCAAGTGACCAATCAGAATCAAGTGTATTGAAAATAAAGTATTACTGTTTGATCTTTTTTAAATAAATAAATAATTTTATTCAGCAAGGATGCATTAATTTGATCAAAAGTCACAGTAAAGACTTTTACATCGATACAAAAGATTTATATTTCAAATAAATGCTGAACTTTTGTAAAAAAAAAAAAATAAAAACTTGAAAAAAAAATTTATGACGGTTTGCATAAAAATATTAAACATAAATAATAAGAAATAAGATTTTCAGAAAACAGTTAAGCTGTAAAATGTAAAAATATTTTACAGTATTACTGACTTTACTGTATTTTAAGGTAGTTAAAGTATATTTAGGTGCTTGTATATCACTATGTGTGAGTGAGTGTGTCCATGTGTGTGTTCTCACAATGTGTGGCACGGGCATGGCGGCAGGTGGCATGGCAGCAGGTGGCAAGGGGGCGGGGCTCCAGGCAGTGGTGCTGCTCATTGTCTTTGACTGCCAGTTAGTGCCACCGGTCAGCTTCTTCTCTCCAGGTTGAGTCCACTGCATATAAGACCTGCATGCAAACACATGCAAAGAGAGTCTAGACACTGCTTCTTTTTACAATTTGAAATGATTTAAATAATTAAATTTAAATCCTCACTTTTTGCCTGGTGTTCCCCCAAACTGCAGGTCTAAAAAGAGAGGGGGGAAAAGAAACAGACTGTTAGAACAGCCCAACATCAGCGTAATACTGGAAGACTTACAGGCATCAGAGACCTATTCATTTCCCCTAAGCTGGGTTTAATTCGTCTCTGTTCAACACGCACACACATACACACCTATAGCGTATAGCACCATATGGCTGCTGACTCTCTGTTCAGTAGAGTAGCACAAATGCAATTTTAAGGTCAGGGACTTATGACCAAGTAAATAAAGAAAGCCACACAAACAGACCAATAATGCTGCGAGGAAGAGGGACTCACTGCCTACGAGGTTGGCCAGGGACGAATCCAGGTCACTGGCCAACAGTTTACTGCCTGTATGAGGAGCCATGACTGGCGCCTGAGTGTGAACCGTCACCGTGGGCTTCAACAAGTCTCCTAACGCATCATAACCTGAGAAAAAAGACAGAGAAACCATTATTCCATTGATTAAATATTACGAGAGTGGCAAACCACTTATTTTTGCTGCAGACTGACACCTAACCAGAAGTGACACGTCAAGCAACCAGCAATAAAGGTTTTATATTTCTGCACTGCTGACCTTTTTAAAAGAATTGGATACGAGTTAGACTTGACTAAAACAAATTCATTTCTGTGTGTTGGTCATGGTTGTTAAGGTTAGCCGAAAGGGTAAATTTTAATTTGTACAGATGGTATCAGATCAGTACTCCGTAATAGCCAATGCTAGTTGAGATATCAGTCTTAAGAAGGAAAAACAGGATCAGTGCAACATCTCAATATGTACACTGTACATCAAACATCAAATACACTCTCAATGTCACATCGTGCAGCCGTTAAGCTTTCAATGTGGACACACAAATTGCTTGTCGCTGGAAACTTGTCGCATCAGGCCTGGTTAGGGCATAGGTGTTATAGAGCAGAGAGACAGGAGTGAGACGAGAGAAAGCGTGCTGCAGTCCTGCAGATGTTTATAATGATGCGAGCAGCGGGGATGAGCCTCTGTGAGGCCACTCACGGCATGACAAAAGACCCATAGAGATCTAGAGCAGAACATTAGGTCAGGACGGGAGGAACCACCCTGAGATCTAAGAGGAAATAACACGACAGGGCTCCTTAAAAAAAACTGGAAATCTATGACATCCCCTTTTTTCTTATTCTTCTCCTTATGGAGGCATAATATTGCAAAAAAATTGCTTCTTTTATATCTTAATACATGTTTCTCGTCTTATTGTGGATGATTAATCAGTGCATGTTATATCAAGAGAAAAATGCCTTTGAAGTCTTTAAATAAAATGTAATAACTCATCTTTTAGACTTTGCTTTTTTCATTTAGACCACACAGGCTACTGATTAAATGTTAACCAACAGCTATTTAGATACTGTTGCAGATGAACACAAACTTTCTAAAATCTTGCCAATAGTTATTACAATATGTCAATGCTCTCAAAAATGAACTTGACCTTCAGTATCCACAATTTTTTTTAAACCTTTTCGACAAATAACTTTTGCCCAGGATTGCCCACTATTTGCGTAAATATATCACATTACAAAAGTAAAATGCGTTGTAAATTAGGGTAGTAGTTGGTAACGAAAACTATTAAAACTAGTTTTTGTTAACTAAAATAAAACTGAAATAAAATATAAATATTAGATGGAAAAACTTTGTTTGTTTGTTTTTGCCTTGGCAAGTAATTAAAAAAATGTTATGCTTAATTATTACAAATTTAAATTAAAATATAGAAACAAAAATATATAGAAATATTAAAAACTGAAACTAATAATAATGAAAAATCGACATAATACAAAACCTAAAAATAAAATGAAAACTGAAGTTATAAAAATAAAAGCTAATTCAAAATACTAACAATACTGTAATAGTACATAAATATTACAATAATAACACTGTTGTGAATGCAATTTAATGTTGACTTTCAAACAGCTGATAGGTTTCATTAACTGAAGAGGCAACTGGTTTTCAAATGGTAAAAAAAACCCAGATCATTTTGCCAATTATTTTAGTAAATGAGAGAAAGCAATCAAGAGAGACAGTCTGCTGACACGTCATATATATACAGTTCTACTTTCTGCTTCGCCAGCAGGAACAAGGAGGCCAAGACAAAAAAAAAAAACGAGTACACACTCACCACATCAGATCAGCCATCATAACCCAGGAAAGAGAGCAGAAGAGAGTGAATAGGGGTGGGGGGAGACAAAAAAAAAGCAAAAGGTAAGAAAAAAGGGGCCAAGGAAAGAAGAAAAAAAAAGGAAGATAGGGGAAGACAGAGTGGATGTACTGGTGAGTGGAAATGTGTGTGTGTCTGTTCTGTGTTCAGATAAGGAGTGTGGCGACAAGCGATTAACAGATGGAGAAAAATGCCAGTCAGCACCCAGCCTCCACTAACACACACACACACACACACACACACACACACACAGTAGATGGATGAAGGGATGATAACACTGTCCACAACCACAGAGCAGCGAAGTGAGTAAGTGGAGAGGAAAAAAAGCATGAGCGATTCCCCAAAGAACATTCCCAATCTGTCCAGAACCGAGTCAGACGGGCAGGTGCTGCAGCCGGCTGCACAGTTTGTTTCAGCGTTCCAGCGGCAAAGCTCCACAAACTCACCATACAGCAAAACCAGCAGAAGAGGTTTATTTTAGGGTGAAGGTTACTAAGTTTTGCAGTTATTAAGCGCAGCGGCAAGGGTCAAATCTTCAGAGATTAAGAAGCGCAGTTATTAATAATCACACGTGTGAGACATTTTACCAGCTGATGGCTTCACATCACTATTGGAAGCTTTAGTCCCAAATACAGCATCAAAATCTACATTCATGGTGGGCATGGAAGCCATGGGATGAAGAGTGCTGCTGTCTAGACCTGAGAGTAACACACACATACACATGGAAGTATACATGACCTTTTTTCTTGCAAGTTGCCACCATTTAGATTGATTCTAGTGCTGCACAATTCATCTAAATACAATCTGAGTAACAATATGGCTTAACAATGGTTAGTAGTTTGTAGTTTTTGCAGACGCCATTTCAAAAGTGATTTTATGCCTGAAGATCTAAACAATAGCAATATGAAAATGTTAAATGTTCATCATGTCACAACTGTCAATCGCAATGTCAAAATAATCACAACATTATTTTTTTTGCAGCCCAGTTAAACCTGGACCATTTTACATGCATACTTTTTCCTCTACAATAAAGTTTCTGATAACAGTTTCCATCCATCTGAGAATGCCATTAAATGCGTTTTTGTCTGAAAATGTCATTAAATACCATTTTCAGCTGAAGCGCTTGAAACGGCCTAAATTTTGGTGGATTCCTATTATTATTCCATGATTTCTTATGTAAATAACAATTTACAGCTTAAATCTGTGCCTGTGGCTCTTTCTCACTACTCTGCTCATTACTCGGCAATCTTTCTCTCTTTTTTAAAACACCTCATCCCTCCATCTGTCTACACTGCTGTGTCTTTGCACTGTTAGTAGTATATGTGGGTCTCTGGAGACCTGAGTCTCGCTGTGCATCTGGCTAGCCCTCGGCGCACCTGTCCACTAGCTGTAAAGCGCACGCTCCAAGTGCATGCTGTGACCTACAAATCCTGGCATAGTTAAGAGTCTGGCAGTGTGTCTACACTCTGCACCTTGTGTCCTCAATTCACACAAGCCCAGCAGATGTGCTGAAAATGAACCTCTGACACTCAGCACAGATCCCAACCAGAGCGATAATGCCTCAACGGAAAAGCACCCAAATCGGTCACGCTTCAGAATATCTAGAAAACATTGTTCGAACCCTACACAGCAGGATGGATGGGTATGGAGAACACAAACACAACGAAACATTGGTTGGGTTGCAAAACCTAGCAAGCTGCTTGGTCAGCTCTTTGAGGCATCATTGATGCCATAAAATGCTGCATATGGCCCAACAATCTATATACCATTATCTCATCAAACTGTGAACGCCAAGGGCTGATGGTAGCTTTTGGGACAGGGCTTACAAACAGCTTGTAAGTATTTGAAACATAGGAATGAACTAGCAAGTGAACGAACAGATAATTAGATGAACATTTACTGCAAGTTAACAAAGGATTGATCTGTTCTAATGATTTTTCAGGGACTAAATTAAAGGTCAGTGATCTAAAGTGGTAAAGCAATAGATCGGTGATCGGGTGTATGTGTATGGGTGGAGTGGGCCGCACCTCCCCAGGCACTGCTGGCGGTGGATATAGGAGTGCTCTGCACAGCAGGAACGAAGGCAGGATGAAGGTCAAACAAGTCACTGTTGAGGTTTGGCATGCTGTACAAGAGAAAGAGAGTTTAGTATAAAAGTAAAACATTTAAATTCTACCACACAGATCTTGTATAATCAACATTTTATGCTATACAATATCTGAAGGTTTTCCATTAACAAAATCAGAAGTTCTCAAGCTATATGTTCAATAGACTTTAATAAGTAAGAATCACAAGACATCTGATGGATGCAACATTACAACACTCCACATGACAAATATTTTTTTTGTAAGAACTGAATACTTTTATTCAGCAATTAAATTAAGCTTTAATTCAGAACTTTCTGTTCATCAAAGAATCATGAAAAAAAAAAAAACTTTATTACGTTATTACGGCACAAAAATAAATAACATTTTGAAACATTAAAATTAGTGCTGGGCAACGATTAATTCGCATCCAACATAAAAGTTTTTGTGTACAAAATATATGTGTGTGTACTGTGCATATTTATTATGTATATATAAAAGCACACACATGCATGTATATATTTAAGAGAAAATATGTTATATATTAAATATATTTATATACTTATATTTATATATATATTTTATATTATTGTATAATATAAATTATATGAATATAAATATATACACGTAAAAACATCTAAAAAAAAATTCTAAATATATACTATATTTGTGTGTCTTTATATATTCATAATAAATATACACGGTACACACACATATATTATATAAACAAAAACTTTTATTAATCACAATTAATCATTGCCCAGCACTAATTCAAACAGAAAGAGTTTAAATTGTAAATTACTGTTCATACTGTTTTTATTTTTATCAAATAAATTCAGCATTGGTGAGCATAAGAGTACTTCTTTCAAAAACATTTAAAAACAAATCTTACTAGCATAAAACTTATATTTATAGTATATAATATTAATGCGATTAATTGCACAGCCCTAGTACACGGCACACTTGTTACCACCCAGTTTGAGAAATTAGAAACTAGAACATTTTACAATGTCTGGTAGAACTTAGTAGTGAAAAGCAGCTGGATTGTGATTTTCATTGTTTTCAAGATGTTGCACCACCAGGCCAAGTGGCTTCATCAACTCACTCGAGAAAGTGAGCGAATCGAAACAGCAGCAGGTATTGACATGTCTGTGCTTTTTCTGTAGGCGCTGACATCTAGTACTCCCTCCTCTCTCACACATAGTGTATATCACAGTCTAAATATGCCGCTTTTCATTCTTTGTGTGTTCTGTAAAGGCTTTGAAGGGTATGAAAAGGAATCTGAACAGAGAGGCTCGGTTCTTTCATCTAAAAAGTATCATGCAGGCTACATTAAGAGATACTAGTGAGCCCACTGCACAGCCATGGTTTGGTCTTTTTAAATCATCCGAGTTCTTAAAGATGGTACAAAGGCTTTTTCATTCTCACCAATGGCACGTTTGGATTATAGTATATCACTGAGCAGCTCCAGAGTCCAGAGTCAAAAAAAAGGACAAACACCTCAAAACAGACAGGGTGAAAAGATTCCGTCCGTTCACTTCTTACAACAATCAACCTGTTGTGGGAGTTGCATCATCAGCAAGGCAAACTGCCACAACAACCGTGAGATTCATGATGCCAACAGGGTTTAAAACCAGCAAACAACCTAACAGTTGTCAAATATATCAAATAAGTTCTGCCAGACATCTATTAAATTATTTCAAAATTTAACTTTGCAGTATTGTACAGTATATAAGATGTTGAAACACTGATACTAATATCTAAATAAATATCATATTTAAAGTGGCAATCGATTTATGAATAGGCAACTTTGACAGTCTATATTTTTGAATGTGATCATGTTATAAAACATGTTTTGAGATAAATATCTTGTGCTTCAATAAAAAATGAAAAAATGAAAAGGAAATTTTCAACTTTTGTAAGTTCATATTATGAATGAAAGTATATATCTCTTCATTTGTCTGTCATAAGCCTTTTTTATTTCAAAATCCTACAATTTTATTTCCAGTTTAAATTGATTTTGAATCCCAAAATCTCAAGCTTTGGACCATATGGTATAGCATATATTGTAGATTCACTGAGCTTTGTATTACTGTACGTAGGGGTGGGCGATATATCGGTAGAAATTTGTCAACCGGTAGAGATTCTGAACTACTGTCACTATCGCGGTTACATGCTCACGTGACATTGCTGTGCTACATGGTCATGAAAATATACAGTATCATTTGCACGTGTTTTTAAGCGGTTTAAAACTATTTATTTTAAGCCACTGAAATGCAATCAGCAGCAAAAGAGAACTCATTCCACTATAAATCGTGCTGCCAGAGAGGCACGCGCACATGAAGACGGTGCTCATAGAGCACGGGAGTATTTAACAGTTATTTTTGCCACTTTATAGGCCTTGAACACACATTAAGTTAAATACACACACTTGTGTCAAAACGCCTGTATTTGCTTTGTATCTTCGTATACAGTAATTTGGCTCTTATGTGAAAGCATACAGCTGAGAAAGAAAACGTGTAACAGTATATTGGATCTGGGCAGCTCTTAAAATGACAGCTAAATAATTTTTGTAACATTAATAAGAAAAAATATATATTTAATTTACACAGAAGAATATGCACTGTTTTTATACATTCGATTACTTTATACAACGTATGTAGCATTTCTTATTTATTTGTTCTGTTACTTTCTTTCCTATTCTTAATCGCTGAAGGTTTACTTGTGTTCAGTGAGCTTTTTTTTAATATAATATGTACTGCGGTCATGTACTACATGTTAGTGACCTGTTTGTTGAGGGTGGGCTTGTGGTGTTGGTGAACAGGTCCATGCCCACAGTGTGGTTGTTGGCACTACCCATAGACTGTGTGCTGGGAGAGGCAGAGGGGGTCTGCATGCTCATCTCCTTCAGACGCTGGTTCTATACAATCACAAAACACAGGAAGAAAACATTTAGAGAGAACATAAAGCATTTAAAGACTGGGCTGCTCGGCTCATTCCTCCTGCGATGGTCACTGTAGAGACTATTTCCTTCAGCTGAGCTCTGTGAAATCAGACAGATTACAGCCACTCAGGCAGCTGAAGTGCCAGTCAGCTACAGCTCAGATCTACTGTCTCTGTGTGTGTGTGTGTGTGTGTGTGTGTGCGCGCGTGTGTCTGTGTACTGTAGAAGAGATCGCTGAAGTCAGAGAAGATCTCCCAGGTCACACTTCCTTTGACAGAAATGAGCAACGACTCAAAAACATCAACTACTTGAGCAGCTTAGACCAACCATACAAAAAGAACAAGAAAAGTCAATAAATCGTCAGCATGTAGAGCTATTTCAAGCTAAGCAACTCACTAGAGCACAACTATTTGACATCAGACAAAGCAAAACCTAAAGTTAAGTCTGGTCTAGGCTTTTTGACCAATACTGTGTAATGTGTTCTTTTACATGTGAGCAGCTCATGATCCTGTGACATTGGTCACAGCAAAAACTGCTCCACACAACCTTCTCTCTACATTTGCTCTGAGTTTACGTCACTTAGAACATGCATTTGGGAATACAACATGTCAACCATCTTCCCAAATTTGTAAAGAAAAGCAGTTAAACCAATTGTTGTCAACAAAAGAAAAGCTACAAGAGCTACCTGTGGATTTCTGCCAAAATAAAAGCTTGATGGATTAACATCTGAAAATGAATCAAGATGGGCATAAATATTAGTCATTTAAATTTTACAGTTGTACTGTAAAGTTATTTTTTTTTCTATTTTCTCCTTTACAGTGAAATATTACAATAGTAACTTTTCTTGTTTTATCATTTTTATTTAGCGATAAGATACATAAATAAAGATAAATAAGAATTATTTAGCATAACAACAAGAACAATAATTATCATTGTGTATAATTATTTTTAGATATAATTATTATATTATTAAATGTGTACATTATTATTATAATTATCATACTGATAGATAAAACACAACATTTTGGGCCAAATTGCGCAGCCCTATAAACAAGCAAACCTAAAACTTTTTTTTCTTTAAATCACATTTTAGATTTTAATTTCTAATCAGAAAAATCACAATTCGATTTCTTTCTTTAAACCGTGCAGCCCAAGATTCTAGTTTCTAAAGAGAGAGGAATTAGGTTGCGACATGGCAAGGTTTTATGCCCTTTGCAACAACAAGAAAATGTGGGAAGAAAAGAAAACAGAAAAAGAAAGCAATAGCACTCTAAAACACTGTGGAGTGTTGAGAACACAACACTCACAAAGAAACACCAGTTCAATTTCACACAAACTTATCCGAACATGGGATGTGTAAATACTTTGATGTTGGACTTTGAAATTGCTTTGAATGTTTGAACTATTCAGATATGGAGCCGTGGTGCAACTGGGGATACATTCCACACCAATGACGTTCCTGTCATTCAGTTTGTGTGTGTTGGTGTGAGTATTTGTGTCCCACAAGGTATGACAGTAAATCCTGATGGAGACAGAGAGGTTTGATTAACCCCGCTGACCACTTACTGCTGCAGGCTAATCACTGAAGGTACAAGGGCGTATTGTGTAAACACACATACACTTGTATGTGTAGAACAAAATGTTCCCAGAACAGCAGCTTCAATTCTGCCAAATCTCAGTTGCAACAAACTTCCCTGGGTGGAGCTGGGATATGCCTTTATTGTATGTACTCTTTATTCTCCACATTGAACCAGCTAACATCACTTCCTGTCCACACTTCAAACTTAGAACATGTTCATTTACAGAAAATAATGTGATAGGTTGTAGCCCACCTTGAGAGCTTGCAGACGGGCTTGCTCCTCCTCCAGGGCCTGTTGTTTCTCCTTCTCGTCCATCCTGCTGGATGAGAAGGAGAAGGACATGCCCGTGTTGGAGAGGGACGACACCGCATTGGACAGAGTGTTGGCTCTACAGAGAAAAACACAGATACGCACAGAAGTGAGATTTCCCTATCAGTTCTTTATTTAGGACCTGATTAATTTAACACTCTTCACAAGCCAAAAAAGTCATATCTTACAGTATGTGGCTATATATAAATCTCTTGCTAATGGTTTGTTGTCGCTGTATCAAGAGCTTCACCATATGGCTTGTGAAGTGCTGTTAAGAGGATTTATACAGCATATACAGGAACTTGCATTCGACTACATATTTTGTCATCTTCAAAGCAATTAAAAAGGTTGATGTAAAAAAAAAAAAAGATGTACACTCACATGAGATGAATGAGATTCATTAGCCTAATAAAAGGCATTTTATTTTACACAAAATGGGTATTACGCCATGATGACCCCCACGTTATATTACACAACCAGCCCACTACTCAATATACAGGTATACCAAGAAACAGGAATACCAAGAAAAAAAATGAAATTTTACCATTTTAATTAATATATATACACAAATGTCTTCACAGGAATTCACAGATCAATGTTTTTCGTGTTAAAACATTTTTATTTGGAATTTCAGCTGATGATCATTTGTTAAAATGTTTTCATTTGGAATTTCAACAGGAGATCATGTGTCATTTTAAAAATGCAAAAAACTCTAAGAAAAATACAAAGACTCAAAAAAAGATTAAAATAAATAAATGGAAAGAGAAATAAATAAATAAATAACATTTTTCTTGGTATATCTGTTCAGCGCCATTACTTTTCCCCTGCTGATGGAAATGTGGAATGGAAATTGTCCATTCACTTATTAATATGGCAAACATGGAAGATCAACTGCCTTGCTTGCTTGACATGCAAAAACAGACCTCACTGGTTGAGCATTGGCTGTCCAATGAGCTCTATGTAAGATGCATTGATCAATATTTATATGTAAAAAAAAGCCTAAATTAAATCTGTTCATCATGTAAAGCGATCATGTTTTTCAGAAGACTTGGAATAAACCACTCTATTTATATGGATTTTAGAATGTCTTAGTGAATTTTTCGAATGCAATAATGTTTTGGTTGCGTGACTTCACAGATGTTTGCCCAAACAGTGCTTTACAGTGTGATGCTGGATTTTTTAGAACTGTAGGATTTCGTACCTGTTGTCGGCGGAGAGCTCCTTGGTTTTCTTGCCCTCCAGAGAGGCCAGGTGCTGCTCAAGAGCCTCCAGGAGACTGCTGGGAGCCTGCAGGAGAAAGATAAGTGTCAAGAACTCAATGAGAACATACATATCCAGTTTAAAGAGTACACACTCACACGGTCAAACACACTTACACACTCACCCACTCGATCCACCTGAGTTTCATTAAATAATAACAGGAGCATGCTTTAAGCTTTTAGTAAGAGGCGTACAGGCAAAGGATAAACAAGCACAGAAAACAAGAGAGAGGAAGAGTACGAATTCGAAAGAGAGGAAGTGACATGCACACTGGAAGATCCAAACCTCAAACGCATGACAGACCCATGAGTTCACTGATATAACTCATTATTGGACCATGACATTAAACTCTTTACACTGGCTTTTGGAACTAGAAATCTAGCTAAAACCTTCCTCTGAGCCCTTTATACCGATCTAGGATTTGTTTCTTTTGAAAAGAATTATCTTAACTACAAGAGGAAGCATAACACGTCCCACATCAGCAAACACGGGATGTGTATGTTGGCACCTAAGAGCACACACACCCCGTTGCTGCTTCATTCAAATGAGAGCAAATGTTAGCACAAGCTCAGAGCTCATGGTTGGTGAAAAGAGCAGGTGCTTTGTGCCAAGTTTCCAGAACAGACAACCCGTGTATAAACTGCTCTTATGGACTAAGGGTAAGCTCTTCGACTGAGCCTAGCTGGCAGCGCTGGCCAACATGTCTGGATCTGATCTAGGTTGGCTTTTTCTTCACATCGCTGAGAGGGCAGATTGGGTCTAATCCATTCCACAGAAAACAGAAGCCAAAAGAGAGAAAAACACATATGCAGCAGTCTATAATTCAAATAGAACTAAAAACTAACATTTCGGCTAAGCGGGAAAATGTATTACTTCCACAGAAATTAGATAAAAAAGAAAGATGAAAGTGTAACAGCTTTTAATTTGCTTCCTTCCTGTCTGATTTGATTTCCTTGGAGAAGACACGGCACGAACAGGCTTTTGATTAAATGACTACATTATAGATGTGCGTGCGGCTACACAAAGGACAAAGTGAGGTTACATGAATACTTCATCACAATCCTAAAAAACGTAGGGCAGTTTTCTCATGTAAAGGGGAAACAGGGCATTGGGTAAATCATATAGCTCTCGCAGAAGCTCCACCTTCTCCAACTCTGATGGTCAGGGGGTTTGCAAGCATGAAGCCGTCATGCAACCCAGCCGGAGATTTGCTTTTATGCTGATCTGAGCTAACGATTTGATCAAACTATAAAGAGACAACTGCACATCTGGTCTCAAATCAGCAGAAATAGCAATATGCAGCCATGCCTGCAAATTGACAGAGAAAAGAATGGCAGTTTGGGCCACATTCAATCAGTTAGCCTGGTTTTAATGGGATGAATCCGATGATGCAGTCAGAAAGAAACTAGGGCTGGGAGATACAGCTAAAAAAATTACCTCAATATTTACTTTTTGATGATTTTTGATTTCAACACATACAGTATGTATTTGCTCTAAAATGGCTTTTAATTTAAAGAATAATCACTTTGACTAAACCAAGATTCAGACTCAAAATACAGTAAAATGTTAAAAATAAATAAACATGTTTTTATTAAATGAAAAGATTGATATTTACATAATTATTACGGGTTATATAATTAAATATAATATTGTTTTTATATTATTTATTTCTAAATAAAACTAAAATAATTTTGCTTTCATTCCAATACTATTATATGGAACAATACAACAATATATTATTAAATTATAATAATTACCCACATATTGTTTTCACAGACACATTAATCAGTTTTATGTTTGTGTATAATGAGACATTTAAGTTTTAATTGTTATATGCCCCTGGTTTAAATAGCAAGTATCTTTTTTAAAGGGGTCATATGATGCGATTTCAAGTTTTCCTTTCTCTTTGGAGTGTTACAAGCGGTTCGTGAATAGATAAGATCCCTAAAGTTGCAAAGACTAAAGATTTTATGGAGGACTGTTTCCTGAACCTGGTAGAGTAGACTACAGTGCCGGCTGTTCTGACTCGCAGACTGTAAGTACGTTTTCATATTTAAAGGATTTGCCACTGATGATTCAAACACGAGTTTTGAGCAGTGTAGAGTAGCGCTTGTTGTTTGTCATTTCTCCGATCACAAATGCAGACATGGTTTTATGTTTACGCGGCGCGATGCAACACAACGCATAAAAAGACGGTATAAGTCATTATAATCCGTAATTATGTCCCCACTGGATGCAACAAATGCCTCGTTTATAATGGGTTTTAATGTTTTTGTCTCGTCGCTCCGGCCGGGACACGGCATCACAGTATGGTAGGGGCGTAACATTTCCATCACACGCTTGACGAATTCGGCCAATCACAACGCACTGGATAGCTGGCCAATCAGAGCACACCTTGCTTTTCAGACTGATGAGCTTTGTAAAAATCAACGCGTTTCAAAAAGGCGGGGCATAGAGGAGAAACAATATTGTACAGTATGTGGAAAATAATGTGTTTTTTGAACCTTAAACCTCATAAAGACATTTCATTACACCAAATACACAAAATAATGTTCTTTTTAGCAACATCATATGACCCCTTTAAATGTTAAAATATTTCTGCGCTTACAGTATAGTGAGTGCAAAACTGGAATACTGGCACAGGTTTCTAATAAATTGGATGGCCAAATAAAAATGATTGTAGCATTAACGATGTTGGCTAATTTTTTACGAAAAATGATTGAATATGTTGTAAATATTTGATATATCACCCAGCACTAGCAGTAGCACAGTTATGTCATATACAAGCAGTGCATATAACCCACCACCTACAAGGTAAGATCCTCTAGTCGTCTGAAAAGAACAATAAACAATGTGTTACTGCAGGGGAATAAACCTCATTCAATATAGTGTTAACCCCACTGTGTAATGTCAAAACTCAAACAAAGACATCAAATTTAAACTGTGCCTAGTGCAACTCCACAAAGTCATACTGAAACAGTGTGATCATCACTAAACACACATTTGAGAGGGAACTACACAGAGAGAGGAGTGTTTGGTAACGTCTGTCAAGCCACAAGTCTTGAAGCGATTAATATTAAGTCTGACTTTCTAAACCAAAAAGGAGAGAGGACAGGAGACAGAACGTCCAAAAAACAGTGAGCATGGGAACAAAAACAGCACGTAAGACAACCAGAGAAAGGACGAGGACAGGTGGAACACAGAGAGAAAAGAAGGAAGGGAGAGCGGTGGTACGATGGACGACAGCAGCAGCGTAGTCAGGAAGAAGAGGAGAAACAGAAAGTGGAGATGAAATGTACACTGACCTGAGTGAGATCTGGGATGTCACCCTGATCAATCCCAACTTGCTGTGTCATAAACAAAACAAAACAAAAAACGGTAAACAAACAAACAAACAAGGGGAGGGAGGAGGAATCAGAAAAAGAACAAACATAAAGGATTATTACCTCATGCAGTGACTAAAAATGAAAGAAATAAAAATAACATAGGTGTGGCATGCCAAGAGCCACGGAAGACCAATGGGAACAGACACAGACATTGATAATGTTTCACATGGCTGACTGTGAGGTGTGGAGTGGTTAACATTCAAAAACAATTTTTACAAATGATGACTTTTAAATGAAAACCGGTGGGGGTTAAAAAAAAGAAAAAAAAAGAAAATGAGACAAGAATCTCACATGGTGATGGACATTGTTCTCAGAGACTCTGTCAAATCGAATCCCTGAGAAGAAGAGCCAGTCTGGAAATAAAACCAGACAGACTAACGCCTGGCTGGATGGACTGAGAGGGGAAGTGAGAGAAAGAGGGCGGCAGCATGGGAATTCATCAGTGTCAGAGAGAGAGGAGGGAGCACCAAACAGATCTACATTTGGGCCAGAAGAGAGAGAGACTTTAAAGGTCTCACGCCACGTGAATCCACAGTAGGAACGACAGCCGTCAATGGCCACAGTAAGGATAACAGGAGAGAAACAGCTCATTCCACACTGTATAAAGCAGTCTTAGTGGAGTACTCTCTCTCTGCAGGGTTCCCACACTTTGGACCAATAACTTTACATGGATTTTTCAGAGCTTATCCAGTCATTCATGATTACTGGATAAAGATTTTTTTTAAATCATTGTGGAGATTGCTAAGGCTTAATTTTCATATGTACAGTACCGTTCAAAAACATGGGGTTAGTAAGATTTTTTTAATTGTTTTTAAAAGATATTGTGAAAAATAATTACAACTTCCAAATTATTATAACTGTTTTCTATTTTAATATATTTTGAAATGTAATTTATTTCTATGATAGAATTGTCAGCATCATTATTCCAGTCTTCAGTGTCACATGATCCTTTGAAAATCATTCTAAAATTCTAATAATCTGATGCTCAAGAAATACTTTGTTTTATCAATGTTGAAAGCAGTTGCACAGCTTAATTTTTTTGTGAAAACTGTTACATTTATATATAGAAATTCAAAAGAACAGCATTTATTGGACAAAAACTAGATTTTAATAGCAATAATTTGCTAATATAAATTTTTGGTACTGTTACAATAAATCTATTTACTGTCACTTTTGATAAATTTAATGCATCTTTGCTGAATAAAAGTATTAATACTTTCAAAAAAAAAAAAAAATCTTACTAACCCCAAACTTCTGAACGGTAGTGTGTGTCAGGTAATAAGCATGTTAATAAACGTAAACAATTGTACTTGGTGTACAAATGTACCCAATGAGACCCTCAACGACCCTCAACAGACTGATGTTATGCTGATTTCAATCTCTTTTTAACAGTTCCAATATTTTAGGAGCTGTTACAGAGAAACCAAAACAGAGGTCAGTTCAACCTCGACTCACACAAAGGATGAAACTTAGTGACATCCGAATGACTTTTGGCAGGATAGGCACATGTATGTGTTTATGGACACATTCTATGAGGACTGTGCAATGCATTGCAGTGCCAGAACACTAAATATGGCATCAGTGTACGCATCAGTCTAGTGAATATGAATGCCAGAGCATTGTAGGATGGAGAGATACGAGAGAGAGAGAGAGAGAGAGAGAGAGAGAAATTGTGGGAGCGGAGGGATCCTTGAACAGTCTGTCTAATCTCAGACCTGTTGTATCAAAACACTGTGTGTGTGTGTGTGTGTGTGTGTGTGTGTGTGTGTGTGTGCGTGCGCGTGTACACATTGCACTGGTACCTCAGCCACTTTAAGAAACTCTGACAGCTTGGTCATCCTGTACAGAAACTTCTTATAGATGTCCAGGGCATCTTTACACTGGTTTTTTTTCATATCAAAGTATTTCTCTGAAACAGGAGGACAAAAAGAGAGAGAGACAGAGGGAGAGCAGAACGATTAGCAGAACAACTCAAAGATGGAGAGATACGAGAGAGAGAGAGAGAGAGAGAGAGAGAGAAATTGTGGGAGCGGAGGGATCCTTGAACAGTCTGTCTAATCTCAGACCTGTTGTATCAAAACACTGTGTGTGTGTGTGTGTGTGTGTGTGTGTGTGTGTGTGTGTGTGCGTGCGCGTGTACACATTGCACTGGTACCTCAGCCACTTTAAGAAACTCTGACAGCTTGGTCATCCTGTACAGAAACTTCTTATAGATGTCCAGGGCATCTTTACACTGGTTTTTTTTCATATCAAAGTATTTCTCTGAAACAGGAGGACAAAAAGAGAGAGAGACAGAGGGAGAGCAGAACGATTAGCAGAACAACTCAAACAGATAAAGACTGCAATTACCCATCAGAGGACTGTCAAAACACTCTGGGCTGTCTGACAGAGACAGGGGCATATAAAAGCTGCTGTAATGGTTTGCTCAAGGACAGCTAGCACTCTAATGCATTTTCAGACCATCAACCTAAACAGGCATGTGTTAACAACATAAAAAAATAATAAAACAAAAATCATGGAAAAATGAACGACTTAACGGTATAATTAGAGCTCAAAGAGAGTAAAAAGCAGCAATAGCTGAAGAGGAATTAAAGCCTTGTTTCTGCTAGACTATTAAGGGGGTCACACACACTGGATGCAAAGTGCAACTTCAGGTCAAAGATAAGACAAAAGCACAAGTATCGCACACAGTGTTGTTCTGAATATGTCAACTGCTCTTGAGATACAAGATCAAGACTTGCTCAGGTAATATTTGTTCGCTTGCTTATAATTTAGCTCCATGCCAGCAACCGTGGCTATATTCAGGGCAAGAAACAAGTGAAAAAAAATAGTACAAGCAAATAACACAACAAATAAAAACAAATTGTAAAAAAATTTTTAATCTTTCACAAATCTAGAACTAAATCTGGCCTCACTTCATTTAAATATTTTTATAAGAATTAACCAAAAAGTAACAAGCTAAAGTTAAAAACGCTTCAAAAAGTTGTGGGTTAGTCTAGAGAGACCTATTCGACAGCGGTTATAGATAATATGGTCCCACCAATTTTCAAAATATACACAATGTTTTCTACCAACAGCAGGATCGATTTAATAACATTTATTTGTGGTACACAGATGCAGTTCAATTTGGATGAAAGTATCTCATACTAGTAATTAATAAGTATAGCGTACAGAAAGACCTGAGCTCTTGTGGTTCAACTGCACTGTTCTTTGTTCAGAAAGCAGTAAGACGTAATCCCTAAAGCAGAGTGTGAGAGTAGGACGCTCTCCAGAGTGAAAGGGAGTGGATTACTCTTACCCAGCAGGTTAATGACGCCCTCATTATAGGCAGCAAACAGACGGATGGAGTCTTTGAAGAGCAGCATGAAGGCAGCGTTGATCACTCCGTTAGTCAGCTCATTAGGGTTAGCCTACGGACACACACCCACACATCCACAAGAGAGAGTACACATCATACCAAATAGCTTGGACTGACTCAACATCAGTGTTGTTCTGTTAAAATAGGGTTTTCCAACGTGGGGCTTCAGGGTCACTTGATTTTAAGGGAACTGCTTACCACTTCCATCACAGGCACAAATCAAATAATCTGCACTATAAACCGACAAATCTATCCAAGCTGAGTTGAAATTACTAAGACTAAGGGACTTTTAATACTGTAAATGTTCTTGCATTTCATCATCCAGATTTCTGCCATTTAAAAGCTTGGGGTCAGTAAGATTTTCTTTGAAAGAAATTAAAAATTTATTTAGCAAGATGCATTCAATTGGTCAAAAATCACAGTAAAGATATTTATAATGAGACAAAAGATTCAGATTTCGTATAAATGTAAACGTTCTATCATGAAAAAATAAAATGATCATGGTTCCCACAAAAATATTAAGCAACACAACTGTTTTCAACATTGATAATAATAATAAATGTTACTTGAACACCACGTGTTAAATGTTAAAATGATTTCTGAAGTATCATGTGATGCTGAAGACTGAAGTAATAAAACTGCTAAAAATGCATATAAAGAAATTACATTTTAAAATATATTAAAATAGAAAACAGCTGTTTTTCACAACATTACTGTTTTTACTGCATTTTTGATCAACTAAATGCAGTGAAGAGTACTTTCAAAAAAATTAAACAAATCTTACCGACCACAAACTTTCATTACATGGATTTTTTTAAACAGGAGATTATGAAGCATGTAACCAGTAAAAAAAAAAAGAGAGAAAACCAATTCTATGAAAATAAAGAAATAAATTCTGATTTGATTTGAATGATTGGAAAGTTTTAAAGCATACATGCATGTTTCTCCATCACAAACCTGGAAATCCAGCAGCGCGTCCAGTTGGTTTTGAATGATAGGCAAGGTTTTGATCAGCTTCTCCGTGTTCATGGTGCGCATGACTCCATCAATACTACACCACAAACAGATAAACAAATAATCAGAACTCGCCACTTACTCGCAAACTTAATTAGCGGTTAAAAAAATCAGCTACTTTATCAGCTTTTAAAAACAACTTAACTATCAGAGTAATGAGCTAGCCTGATTAGATTGTGTCCTGCTGAGAAAATGTGTTTGAACACAATCTTGACTCCAGGCAGACAATATTACAGAGGCAGAACTGAGGTTTACCCACCCTCTCTTCATCTTGGTGAAGTCCACAGCCACCAGCCTATAGGAAAGGGCTTTCTCATTGAGATATCTGCTGTACCGCCTGATGAATGTGGACATGTCATAGCCTGAGGGAAAGGTTGAGGGCTTTATCATCAGTGTGCGCGTGCATACAATGCTTTAGAGACAGGAAAGGTGTTCATGTTTCTGACATACCTTGCAATGCACCTTTATCAAGGAAATTGTTCAAATTGAAGAGCGTGTTTCTTGAGGCCAGATACTGAATGAAACGCTGCGGGTACAGAGAAGAGATAATCAAAATGCTGACACAAAAATATGGTCATATACTAGATGTGATTGTGCAGCTCTTAATCTGTCAGAATGCGGGAGCGACTTTATCCCTGACTGCTGCTGAATTTGCAGTACACTGTGTGAAACCTAGACCCGTGTACAAGACCAGACTCCTCTGAGCTTTCTTTGAGCTGCCAAGTACGTCTGCTGCAGCTCCCCTCCTCCGTCCAGCCCCGTCCCACCAGCTCACACAGCTGTGGGTTGAGGAAAAGAGCAAAGAGAAGCACACAGCGATCTAGGTGCTGTTGTGAACGGACATGATGGGAATTTTTGGAAATACTACTACTAGGATGCATTCTGACCTCATTCATGTATGTGGTGGACATGACGGGCAAACAAAAAGTAAAACAGACTCTCAAACATTCACTTTACCTTTACACAGAGCTCACCACCAATCAATGTTTTGTGACCTGATCACAAAAATCATATTCTGAGATTACAAGTGACCACATCTCATTTAGTCACTATATCGCACACAAAGGTCTGCCCCCTCACAATCTTATGCTGTCCCAGATGTATATGACTTTCTTCAGACGAACACAAACAAAAATATTTAGAAAAATACTCCATCTCTGTGAGGTGAGTCCCTCAAAGTTAATGCATCACAATGTGCTGACGTTGATGTCATGAAAACTCGCGTATGAGACTTGTTCAGAGGCAATGGTTAATATAGTTTAAAAAGTTTCAAATATGAGTATTTTACTCACACACATATTAGACATTGCTTCAACAGACATATATTCATCAACTGGGGTTGTATGGATTACTGTCGTGTTTTTTGCGGAGCGAACTTTCAAGGACTTTTTAATAGCCTTTTTATTTTATTACTTTTGTAAAAATCTGTTCCACAGAAGAAAGTAACTGGGACGGCACATCTGGGACATCGTGAGGGTGAGTAAATGATGAGAGAATTTTCATTTTTGGGTGGAGTATCCCTTTAATTACAAGCGCAAACAGCCTGTGCCTATTTACAACACACTATAGGCTGGAACAACAACAAACGATTAGTAAGTAAATCTGAATAGAACAAATAGTTTTTCCTAGAAACTGTATTTGTCAATGTCATTTACAAGACAATACAAAGTTATCAGTCCCACACTGAGTCTAAACCAGAATGCAGCAATTGTAACCTTGATCTTATTTGGTAAATCAGTAGACCAGAGAAAAAGAGTCAGCAGGAAACAGTTTTTACGTACTGGGATGGAGCCTTAGGCTTGTTTCACCCCAGGGGAAAACCTTGTTTCACCCTGCGGTCAGGCAAAATCTGCTTGGCACAGAGGAATAAAATAGTCCTGGCAGGGGCCATTTTCAGCCTGTGGCAAAAAGGTCGAGAGTCACTGAAATCACAGAAGGTTCCTAAAATGCATCTGAAGGAATGGGAGGCTTTAAAAAAATGCCGCATTCCTAGAGTTCTGCTGAAGTTGGCGGATCAAGAGTGGCGATCCACTGAACAGTAGGCTGACAGTCTGGTGTGTATATAGAGGGAAAGAAGCCACCCACCCTTTGAAAGATCAATGATCTCTGATCTCAAGGGAGCTCATGGTGCTTGGGGTGGCCCTGGTCATGTGATTGAGGTTTTGCGTGAGGTTCATTCTCTTTTAGAATTTTTGCAGCCAAATGATAAAAATTCAGCTGCATTTTAACGATATAGAAAAATGACAAATGGCAGAATAATGTGCATAGAAAGTATCAGCGAGCTTAAAAATCAAGAAAATGGCAGTCAGCCAATTATTGCCATCAGCCATAGTTTTTATAAGCAGAAAAAGAACAGAAATCTGCATACAGTTTAAAAATATTTTGGAATAATATTTTTATTGTAAAAATATTTCAATATTCTCTGCAAAGCTTATATGGGACAATATTTTATATATTTTTTGCAGTTCTACAGAAAGAAATTAAAATTGATTTGGAAATATTTATCTACAGGTTATGAATCAGTACAGTACAGATAATAAATTAAAATATTATTTGCACAATGGCAATATAAAAGCCAAATATTTAATTTTGCTAACAAAATGTTACAAAATCACACTTTTTCCTTACACAGTATAAATTAATCCTTATAAACAAAATTATACAGTGTGGATGTCTAAATATTTTAGGAAGGGGATTCCTTTCAAAATTACAAAGGTTCTTGGCATCAAAAGAATTCTGCTCTTACAGTGTGTCCCCAATCATTCTCACAGAAAACTACTGAGATACTTCTGCTTTGCACCGGTGCCTCAAATACCGGTCTAAAATCCTTAGGGATCACACGAGAAGCAGAGTGAGGCATACCATATTCAGACCATGACGAAAATCCCCAGGATGGCAGCTGTGCGGAGCATGAGCTAGTTCTCTCTGGCACCGTGGCTTAACCTCAGAGAGAAACCTTGTGGAAAATGCATTGCCGAGCCAGTGTGTACCAAACTGCAGAGAATATTGCTCCATTCCAGAGCGTAGATCAATATAGATTACTAATTCAGTGGAGTCTGCAAATCCACATTCGCCTGCCTGCTTCTCTGCATGAACACCTCAATCTCAATGCCTTTTTTTACGTAGCTGAGGTTATTCAAAATGGATGTCAGAAGTAAGGATGACAAATATAGATTGATAGGCCAGGAAGGGTCCGGCATTCTCAGCTTAGCAAATAATTAATGTGAGAACAAACCTCAAGTAGTGTGAGAGTGAAGCATCATTTATTATTAAGGCAGGAGGCTCTTTGGCAGGGAGCTTTCTTTCCCAAAGAGAGCAGCTTCTATTAACACAGCAGCTCAGGCTGAGGGAAGATATCAGCAATCAGGAAACAGGGATTGCTCATGTTTTAGCCACTGATTTTGTTGGTGCAGTCAGGAACTGATGCAGAAGCAGCGCTGGAACTGCTATGTAAAATCTGTATGTGTGCGTGTTTGTGCGCTAACCCTGCAGGGAACATGTGCAAATAGGCTGCATGAGGATGCCCTGATAATGTGCCGGCTGCTGGTCTTCGCTCTCTCGATCCATACATGTTCTGAAGTTTCTATGGATACGGCCTGAGCAATTACCGCGCGGTTAGAAAAAAAAAATAAAAGGCTTCAAGAAAAACGGCGAGCACAAAAAGATGATGACAGAACAGTGCGAAAGAAGGCACACTGTTCGATAGCGATTATTTTCAAACACAAAACCCATTCTGTTTGTAAAGTAGAGAGCTGGAATCACATCTGATTCAGAGCTAAAATGACTGTACCAGAATGCAAAACAGAAATGCGTGACCAAATAAAAAATTTAAAAAAAAAAATCACACACCATACAAACTGATGTAGTGCTATGTAGGGCTGTCACGATTATGAAATTTGGCTGACGATTAATTGTCTAAAAATAGTCACGGTTATTGCGATTGTCTGTTTTAGGGCTTTGGCGATTATGCAGATTACCACGCTTAATTGTCTGTTTTTTATGGCTTTCATTATATAATTGTGATTAATTTAAGGGTTCAGTAAATAATTATGATGTTATCTTTTAATCTTTTTTGAGTTATTATTTTGCAGTGTAAGATTACATAGAGAATTCCAAATTCTAAGAATCGGACAATACCGATCCAACACCAGCGCTATTTTTTTCTACACCACTACAGAATATCAATACTGTGTTTGTGGAACTAATGGTCACTCTTTTAAACACTTTGTTAAACGCAATCAACTAAATACGCACTTCCTCATTACAGAGAAAAACTACATTTGAATAAAAATATAGAAGCTATGAAATTAAACTAGCTGACTGTATAATTTAGCAGCAAAAACAATATCTTGGGAAAAAAATCTTTGGTGCACATTATACAATTTAAACATGTTTATTCTGTTAACTATTTGTATTCTTACAAAATACATTTACCGGTCTAAAATCCTTAGGGATCACACGAGAAGCAGAGTGAGGCATACCATATTCAGACCATGACGAAAATCCCCAGGATGGCAGCTGTGCGGAGCATGAGCTAGTTCTCTCTGGCACCGTGGCTTAACCTCAGAGAGAAACCTTGTGGAAAATGCATTGCCGAGCCAGTGTGTACCAAACTGCAGAGAATATTGCTCCATTCCAGAGCGTAGATCAATATAGATTACTAATTCAGTGGAGTCTGCAAATCCACATTCGCCTGCCTGCTTCTCTGCATGAACACCTCAATCTCAATGCCTTTTTTTACGTAGCTGAGGTTATTCAAAATGGATGTCAGAAGTAAGGATGACAAATATAGATTGATAGGCCAGGAAGGGTCCGGCATTCTCAGCTTAGCAAATAATTAATGTGAGAACAAACCTCAAGTAGTGTGAGAGTGAAGCATCATTTATTATTAAGGCAGGAGGCTCTTTGGCAGGGAGCTTTCTTTCCCAAAGAGAGCAGCTTCTATTAACACAGCAGCTCAGGCTGAGGGAAGATATCAGCAATCAGGAAACAGGGATTGCTCATGTTTTAGCCACTGATTTTGTTGGTGCAGTCAGGAACTGATGCAGAAGCAGCGCTGGAACTGCTATGTAAAATCTGTATGTGTGCGTGTTTGTGCGCTAACCCTGCAGGGAACATGTGCAAATAGGCTGCATGAGGATGCCCTGATAATGTGCCGGCTGCTGGTCTTCGCTCTCTCGATCCATACATGTTCTGAAGTTTCTATGGATACGGCCTGAGCAATTACCGCGCGGTTAGAAAAAAGGCTTCAAAGGCTTCAAGAAAAACGGCGAGCACAAAAAGATGATGACAGAACAGTGCGAAAGAAGGCGATAGCGATGATAGCGATTATTTTCAAACACAAAACCCATTCTCGGGGCATAGAGGACCTACAATAATGTACAGTATTTGAAAAATAATGTGTTTTTTGAACATTAAAGCATGTCAACATTAGGGCTGTCACGATTATGAGATTTGGCTGACGATTAATTGTCTAAAAATAGTCACGGTTATTGCAATTAATTGTCTGTTTTAGGGCTTTGGGCA